GCGTGTGTTTGCTCCCCCTCCATATTTCTTTCGACATTTCCCAAACCTTTTCTCTTCCCTTCCTTCATTCTCTCTCTCAAAGGCATCGGATTTGTGAAAATTCTATCCTTGAGACCCTTTTCTTCTTTTCTCTTTTTCACACACATCCATCAGAATGGTTCAATCGTATGTTGGCTCGAGTCTTATGAACAATTACCAACACAGTTGCTGATTATTTGGATAGATCTATTCTGGGTTTCCCCCGCATGGGAAGACTCCGTGACCTCAAGAAGGCTACCGAGGCTTACTGGTCTGACAAGATCTCCCGCGATGAGCTCCTCGCTGAGGGCAAGCGTCTTCGTCTCGAGCACTGGAAGATCCAGAAGGATGCCGGTGTCGATGTTATTCCCAGCAACGACTTCGCCTTCTACGATCAGGTCCTCGACCACCACCAGCTCTTCGGAACCATCCCCGAGCGTTACTCCAAGTACAACCTCAACCCTCTCGATGAGTACTTCGCCATGGGCCGTGGTCTCCAGAAGGAGGGCATTGATGTCCCCAGTCTGGTAGGTCCAAATCATTACATTACACGTGCCCAAATTCAGTATGCTGACTCAATGAACAGGAAATGGTCAAGTGGTTCGACTCTAACTACCACTACGTGAAGCCCACTCTCCAGGACAACCAGGAGTTCAAGCTTGCTGCCGAGCCTAAGCCCGTTGCTGAGTTCCTCGAGGCCAAGGCTGCTGGCATCACCACCCGCCCCGTCCTCCTCGGTCCCGTCTCTTTCTTGACTCTCGCCAAGGCCGACCGTGACCAGACCGTTGACCCCATCACCCTTCTTGAGAAGCTCCTTCCTCTCTACGTTGAGCTTCTGTCCAAGCTCAAGGCCGCTGGTGCCGAGGATGTCCAGATTGATGAGCCCGTCCTTGTCTTCGACCTTGCTCCCAAGTCCAAGGCTGCCTTCAAGCCCGCCTACGAGAAGCTCGGTGCCCTCGGTGCCCAGGGTCCCCGCATCACTCTCGCCACCTACTTCGGTGACATCGTCCACAACATTGATGTCCTCGCCGACCTCCAGAGCCTCTACTCCATCCACATCGACCTTGTTCGCAACCCCGAGCAGCTCGACACCGTCGTCGCCGCTCTCGGCCCCAAGCAGATTCTCTCCGCTGGTGTTGTCGATGGACGTAACATCTGGAAGACCAACTTCAAGGCCGCCATCGAGAAGGTCGAGAGCGCTATCCAGAAGCTTGGCAAGGACCGTGTCATTGTTGCCACCTCCAGCCCCCTCCTCCACGTCCCCCACACCCTCGCTAGCGAGAAGACCCTCGACCCTGAGGTCCGCGACTGGTTCTCCTTCGCTGTCGAGAAGGCCGCTGAGGTTGTTGTGATTGCCAAGGCTGTCACCGAGGGCCCCGCCGCTGTCCGTGAGCAGCTCGAGGCCAACGCCAAGTCTGTTCAGGCCCGTGCCTCCTCTGCCCGCACCAACGACCCCGCTGTCAAGGCCCGCCAGGCCGCTGTCACCCCTGAGATGCACAACCGCAAGTCCGCTTTCCCCGAGCGTTACGCCGAGCAGACCAAGACCCTCAAGCTCCCTCTCTTCCCCACCACCACCATTGGTTCCTTCCCCCAGACCAAGGAGATCCGCATCCAGCGTAACAAGTTCACCAAGGGTGAGATCACCCCTGAGGAGTACGAGAAGTTCATCGAGAAGGAGATCCAGGAGGTCGTCAAGATCCAGGAGGAGCTCGATCTCGATGTCTTCGTCCACGGTGAGCCCGAGCGTAACGACATGGTGCAGTACTTCGGTGAGCGCCTCACTGGTTACGTTTTCACCACCCACGCCTGGGTTCAGTCTTACGGCTCCCGCTGCGTGCGTCCCCCCATCATCGTCGGTGATATCTCTCGTCCCGCCCCCATGACCGTCAAGGAGTCCAAGTACGCCGCTTCCATCTCCCCCAAGCCCATGAAGGGCATGCTCACTGGCCCCATCACTTGCTTGCGCTGGTCTTTCCCCCGTGACGATGTTCACCAGTCCGTCCAGGCTCAGCAGCTCGCTCTCGCTCTCCGCGACGAGGTTGTTGACCTTGAGGCCGCTGGCATTGCCGTGATTCAGGTCGACGAGCCTGCTCTCCGTGAGGGTCTTCCCCTCCGCGCTGGTGAGGCCCGTGTTGCCTACCTCAAGTGGGCTGTTGACTCCTTCAAGCTGTCCACCGCCGGTGTTACCGATGGCACTCAGATCCACTCCCACTTCTGCTACTCTGAGTTCCAGGACTTCTTCCACGCCATTGCCGCTCTCGATGCCGATGTCCTGTCCATCGAGAACAGCAAGTCTGACGCCAAGCTCCTCAAGGTCTTCATCGACGAGGCCTACCCTCGCCACATTGGCCCCGGTGTTTACGACATCCACTCTCCTCGTGTCCCCACCGAGCAGGAGATCAAGGACCGCATCGAGGAGATGCTGGCTTACCTTACTCCCAACCAGCTTTGGTGCAACCCTGACTGGTTTGTTTTCCTAGCCCGGAATCTCATGTTTTGTCTTTGATGCTAATATACCCTTCTTTTACAGTGGACTCAAGACTCGTGGATGGCCCGAGACCAAGGCGGCTCTCACTGCGGTAAGAAATGATAATAATCCTGAAAGTGACGTACAAAATGCTGACAAAACACAAACAGATGGTCAACGCTGCCAAGTACTTCCGCCAGAAGTACGCGCAGTAAATTATTTCAATTTACCAATAATTTAATGAGGAGGCGACAATCAACCTGTCGCCTCAGTACTGGGGAGTTTTCTTTTCTGATGAGTTACGACGATGATACCAAAAGTTCAACATATGGGTTTCAACGGGTTTTCTAGAGGATACCAAAAGCGGGCCTGGAGTTTCAACATGACTGACGATTTTAAACTGGCACTGGCCAACATCACGACCTACTTTCGTTGTGATGTCTGGTCGGTGTTGGTTTCACCATTTCAACATTGTGTGGTTTTCCACACACAGCAAGCTCTACAACCTTGCTTGGTCAAATTCGCATTGCCGAATTTGACCTACTGTTTCTATTATCGTGTAGAATCAGTTGTCAATATTACAATTTACAATAATCTGTCTTCCTCGTAGGTTCGGTGTTTGTGGGAGTATAGGTGACGCGTATTAAACACTGAGCTATCACAACATGGAATATGTAGCTTTTTAGCTTTACGATTAAATTTAGTTCTAATATACGCTCAGGGAGTGAGGAAGTACGTCGCGCTATAAAACATACTGCACATTGAAAGTTGCCGGTTTGAGGTCGGAAAGACTGTAGGTGGAACCCTGGGGGCTGCTACTATGTATACAATTTCTAAGTGCAATGGACGTGTACTCCCGTGGGAGAACTGCTATCAGAATGATCATAGAAACAAAAGCAGAGGACATAATCAATTATCCATCCAAACACCGTTAATGAGTAAAGTCAAGCTCGGCATGCTCATCACAGATCTCGAACAGTTTGGCCTGCGTGCCAGGTTCCTACAAAGAGGCTAGCATGACCAGGTCTCAAAAACGAGGTCTATATTTCCTAGTAGTGAAGATTCCCTATAGTATTAGGGAACCTATCATTTCTGGGTAGGCTTGTGCATAGAGTAGGGACAGACAGTATTGAACCCCACGGGTGTCATGTCGTACTATATATATCGGAGCCTGGACCAACCCTGAACATCTTTAATACGCGAGGTCCCCGTCAATCCCGGGCTATTAGTCCAGTTCAGCACTGAGACTAGGCAAGAACTACCTGAGCGTAATGCTCAGATATAGTGGTCTTTTTGGCCTAGTGTGTAACCCGGCTAGTCCAGGGGCAGGTCGTAACACAAAGGCTATCAGATACTAGATTATCACAGTATAAGACACTAGAAGTCCCGATGCATGTTTCGTTCCCTGATATTATATTACACTTTCCCACATATCGGATGAATATGAACACAGCATCAACACGTAAAAAATAGCAGACAGTATAGGATGCGTAGTCCCATCAACTAAAGTATCTACTTTGCTATCAGCATCAGCTTTCAAGCCGATTGTCAGAAGAATCGGCCCCAGCTCACGGATGTGTGATTCCTTCAGTGTATCCCACGGAACAAATTGGTGCACGGTTAAAAAGGACCCGTCATCGTCGTCACTTGGAGAGTGTGTGTTGTTGAGATAACTAAGATACCTCTCTTCATATTTAGCGACTGTCACGAACACCTCATGTCGGCCTTGAGATACATGAAGGCGCCTGTGGTTATGTCAGCTCTGTTTATAGTAAAAGCAGAAGAAATAGACTTGGAGAATGCAAGAGCATTGGCTTTATTTTGGGTTTTGGCAACTTCAAGCTGATAGTGACGAGCAATCGTGAACGTTCCTTCGGGAATATTCGATTTGGGCCCAAAGCTATCACAATACGTAAACCATGATTGGCAACGAAGAAGTAGCTCTATGGTACGGTCCACCGAGTCTTTCATATCTAACATGTTGTGGACTTTGCGTGGATCATCGTACCGCTTCCACAGTACCCTGAAAAGGAGGAATTGATCTAGGTCAAATTTGGACGCAGACGAAAGATCTGCGTCGTGGATCGTTTTACCCTTGATATATTTTGAGATCCTTTTGGACCATTCCTGGGAGGACACCGTGATGGTGGCCAAAGTAGAAGAAGTTTGAACAGATTGGTGAGCTTGTGTAACACGTAGCACTGGTGCTGGGTAGAGATGATTGAAATGGCCCCGAAACGGATAATCAGATAGAATTAGCATGGGTATAATAACGGTAGACTCTCAGGAACCCGAATTTGAAATAAAATGTGATTTTGAGCAAAAAGGGGCCAGATGCTCTTTTAAAACCCTGTCAATTGTAGAAGCCGATTTAATATAGAATGTCTTGGCACAAAGGTCCCTGACGTGATCGACTGTGAAACTTTCAAGGTTCGCATGTGAATTTAGTCAAACCCTTACAAAAGCCTATCTCCCCGCACTTCCAACTTAACTCTTGATACAATATTTCTCCAATATGGTACCCCGACCGGATATCAGAGCATCGGACCAAATCGTACTCAAACCACCCACGGACCGAACCCTGCGATTCAGAGAAGATGGGACATTTCACATTGGGGTCTTTGAGGATTTGCATTTCGCAGAGGGTATGTCGTAGTAACATACAAGCAAGGGGCTCTTTCTAATCCCTTCCAGACGAAGAAAAAGACGAAAAGTCTAAAAAAGTGATGTTAAACATCCTCTCGGAGGAGGACATCGACTTCATAGTCATAAACGGCGACCTAGTATCCGGCGAAAGAACCCAAAAAGCCGATTCAAAAAAACATATCGACTCGGTCGTTTCCCCTCTTGTCAATGAGGGGTACAGCTGGGCATCAACCTATGGCAACCACGACAGCGAGGTTAATCTCAATCCGAAAGATGACATGTTCAAGGCCGAGCAAAAGTACCCCAACAGCTTGACGCAGAGTAGAATCTCCGGTGACAAGGCCGGAATAACGAATTATTACCTGCCAGTGTTTTCACATGGACAGGCAAATACCAGCACGCCTGCGCTGCTGCTGTGGTTCTTCGATTCGAAGGGTGGACATTATTATCAAAAGGAAGGAGAGGAGGGGCCTGCCGTTAAGAGACCCAGTTGGATTGATGAATCGGTAAGAAAATCCCCGATCGTACATTTTTTTTCTTCTAAGAAGCACTAACTGGGTGTATTCAAGGTCGTTGACTGGTTCACCAAAACCGATTCCAAACTGAAAAAGCAGTATGGAAAAGTCATCCCCTCGCTAGCATTCTATCACATCCCCGCCCACGCAATGCTCGAGCACCAACAAACAAGAGGCATAAATCCGCGCCTGACGCCCGGCGTGAACCGCGAACGCGTTAACCCGCAAGGAACCGGCCCGTGGACCTATGACGGCCAGGACGTCAAGTTCATGGACGCGCTACTGCACACTGAGGGCTTAATTGCAGGATTTAGCGGCCACGATCACCAAAATGACTGGTATGCGTCGCTAGCAGACAATAATTCGTCACTTGGATGATTCAAACGCTAATCAAACATTACAGGTGCTTTAAATGGGATGGCTCTCTCGTTGACCATGGTCTAACCGGGAATGGTATAAATATGTGCTACGGTCGGCATACGGGGTATGGTGGCTACGGCGATCTGCTCCGTGGTGGGCGGCAGATCTTACTCCACGAGGGAAATCTCGCAGACGACACTGAGACATGGATTCGATTGGAAGATGGGTCGGCCCAAGCCCGTGTCACGTTAAACACAACTTATGGCCAGGATCCTTACCTTGCTGTTACTAATGCTGCTGGAAAGCCCGATTCCCATGTGCAGGACCCTTTGGTTTCTTTGTCTTGGTTGTGGATTCCAATTATGATGCTCTCGCGGTGGAGGGCCTAAAAAGGTATTTTAAATATGGGTCTTGGATTGCTAAATTATTTTTGAATAAGACCTTATTCATGATCAGGTTAAGATATTCTGCATAAAGATAGACTTGTAATTTTCTTGCCTTTCCGAACTTTTTTATAGTTTCTTCTAGAGTTCTTCATCATGGATTATATACGATTTTACCCTGTACATACTGATATGGATCTTCCCACTCCGTCTATGCTTGTCATCTGGCATGCATCCAATCCATATTCCAGGGGTCTGGGTATAACCAGCCAATAGCTGACCGTCACCGGTTACAGGTAGATGTAGCAGAAAGGACCAGAAATGGTACTCATGAGATCCCGCATAGCAATAGTCTCGCCACCAGCATAACCAATATCAATGAGCGTGTCAAGAGTAGTGTTAGGAGAAGGGGGCCCGTTCAAGAAAGTGCCAGTGCCAGAAATAGCATTCAGCCGCTTGTGGAGGTCCAAGTTCTGCCAGATCCACCAAGTGCGATCAATCATACCGTGGTGGAGCCAGAAAGCAGGGTCACCAGGGCTAACAAATACATCACGAGAAGGATCACCGCCCATAGAGTAGTGACCACCACCGTGAACACCGATATTGCCGCTTCCGGGAACACCCTGCATGTTCATCTGGAAGTCGTAGATGTTGTCGTGGCGCAGAATCAGGTCCACAATCGCGGTGAAGTTAGCGTAGTCCTGGACGATCTTGGAGCTTAGATCGCGTTTCAGACAGCGGGGGTTGTATGCGAGTGGGTTGGCGGCGCTTGCGGTTTCACCTCCGGGAAGCATCAGTGCCATCGGGCCCAGGTTGACAGAGTAGTTCTTGAAAGGACCGCTGGTGACGCAGCCGCCTCCGTTGCCGGTAGGCAGGTGAATTACCGGATAGTTGGCCAGGGTCAGCTCAATGTCACCAACGGACTTGTTGTAGGCTCCGTTACCGGACATCGAAGTGTCGCTGCCGTCGAAGACTTGGGATTTTTCCAGGTTTGCGGCGTCAGCGCCCCAGTTCCAGTAACTGCGGTTATGTTAGAGCTTGGGTGTTTTTGTTAGGCGAGGGATTGTCAGACTTACGGGTAGTCGCCGGTGTAGCCACACTCGTTGCGCATGGCTTCTTCGAAGTTCCAGATGTAGTACCGGTGCCACGCCAGGAAAGTTCCCGTGTAGTGGATCTCCATGGTCTGGTTGATATGAGTAGCGACGAAGTCATCGTAACGGGAGCGCGCACCAGGGGCCTTGTCGGATGGAGTGAGCGAGGGCAACCCCTGGAGGCAAAGGATGGACTTGATGTAGGACTTCTTCTGGCTGCTAGAGAAAGTCCTCCAATCGCGACGAATACGCAGACTACGCAATGAACAGCCACCACGCTTCTCAATGTCCGAGTCGCCCGAGACATTCTCGAGGGTGGTGTTGTATGCCAGCCCAGCCAGGCTATCAAGCTGGGACTCAGCGACTGGCAGGGAGGTGGACGCAGTGGTGGGGGTGGCAGCGCTCACGACACTCTCCACGGCAGCGGGCATAGCCCACGCCTGTGCGAACAAAGCTCCCAAAGCGAGTATGGAAACGGCAACCATGATGACAAGTTGAATATTTGAACCTATGAAAGACCAATTGCACACCAAGAGTTTAGGAGACGTGGTGATCAAGCCGAAAGAACCCGAGCATGATCGTTGATTTAAAGCCTAGGTGCATATGCTAATCACTATCTCGGATTTCCGAGTTGAACTAAAGCAGAGTGGTGCCGCTATCACCTTTTTTCCTGCATAAGTTCATAATCTCCCCGTCTGCTAGGACCTTTTAGGGCATCAGGCCATGTCTCGCTTGCTCCATCGGGTAATGCCGACAAGTTAGCGCACATTTCCCATTTTGGAAAGTCAATCGGTTCTACCATTTATCCACTTAAATCGCTGGATCACTCACGGATCGGCCCTTTGTACCCTGGAGATCATCCAAAATACACGGGAGCCCCGGATATATGGGAAACCCCCAAATTGTACTCATAAATCCAAAACAACACTGTCAGCAGAAACAGCCACCCCATGGTCCCCTTGTTCCTTGGCGACTTGGCAATTTCGGCTAAGTGACAGGTCCAATCACATGGAGATGTTAAATCGAATTCAATCAAAAGCTAATATGAGAATGACATTCCGTTGCTCTAACTGCGTAAAACTCCGATAAGCTGTAGAGGGTAATCCACCAGGTATGCAGTCTTCCTCTCCATCCGAGGCTCGTCTCCCTGTGCTTTTCTTACTAATATTATAATGTCCACTTATTATCTATGTAGTTACCTAGGTCTGATTCTAATAACCAACTATTCTCTCGGATACCGTGTCTACGTATAATCTTGAACATCCTTTATTGGAATAAAATAATATTCCCAAGCTAGCGTCGATCTTGACTTGAATATGCCAACTCAATATAAAAGTATGTAAAGTATGATTACACACCATTACTATCCATAGACCCACGCGAGTATTCACCACTCGCATAATCTTGAACGACTCGAACCGACACCAGTCTTGCCAACTTCGCCCCTGCTCGATCAATCCAGTCCCAGTCAGTGAAGTCAGACTGGCACAGTGCCAAATCAACGCGCTTGACTATATGCGCAATGCCGAGATATAACTGCATATATGCGAGACTAAGTAGATTAAGATGTCAGCTGGGTAAATCACGTCTAAAATTGAAGCAAAAAATGTACTTTATTCCGATGCAGGCATTATTTCCCTTCTGGAATGGTGTAAAACACCTGTCGCGCTCTTTATCGCTGTTTATCAGCCAACGCTCGGGAATAAATCGTGTCGGTTCCGGATACGCCTCTGCGTTTTGATGCATGGCGTATATGCTGTCTGCGATAATAGTCTAGCGAGTGGTTCGTCAGTGAGAATAACAGGCTTGCTGATGGTGCGGAACGTATACCTTGAGGGAGGTAGTGCTGGCCAATAGTGTATCCCCCTGCTGGAACGACCCTAGGCAAGAGGCCCGGGAGGCTAGGATGCATACGCAGGGTTTCTTTCACTACTGCTGTCTATGAAAAAAAAGTTAGCAAAGAATGTGCTCTGAATTTGGGGATATGGGAAATTTTACCAGATATGGTAGCTTGGTCAAACTGCTCCAATCGTCGCTTTCAAGAGAGTAATCCATCAACTCGCCGCGGAGGCGGTGGCGCATTGCAGGAAACTTAATGAGCTCGAAGATTGCCGCAGATAGAGCCATTGCTGAGGAATCGGTGTTGGGGACCAGGAACTGTAGCGTGTGTTGCATTATATCACGATCCACTGCGGTGGATAGAGCGCCAGCGGGGTTTGTGCCGAGTATCATTTCACATACTGAGCCTGAACCTCCAAAAGATTCGGAGTTATTTTTCTTCTCCTGGCATCTTCTGATCAAAATGTTGCATTTCTGCGAGAGTATGAGTGTCATTCTGGGATTATACATCACCGTTTGTCCATACCTCTCGTAGGCCTCGAAGGCCAGGAGCCAGAGAGTCGGCAATGCAAGGAGGAATCTTTGAACCGAGATATCCCAAGAGAGGGAAGTTCAAGACTAGATAATAATCAGAATAATGTTCTTGTTAGAATGAAGTGAGAAAACAGCCTACTCAGCAAAGATTTAGAGCCAATCTCATCCAGCGTATCCAGCAAGTCAGAGCGACACCCAGTGGGAACTAACTCAGGATCCCCGAGGAAAGCCTCGGCCATCGTATTGCACTATTCAAATTTAGTACAACTAATGCGTCCAGCTGAGATTCCACATACCGTCAATGAGCGGATTACGTTTACCAGGTCAATGCCTTTTCTCTCTGCCGACTGTTGTGAGATTATATCCGAGGCTGAATTTAACCGCCTAACAAAACCGGCAGAGGCGCGGTCCGCGGCACCCTTGGAGAAAAACGGATTCATGGCCGCTCGCATTGTGCGATGCCTTTTTGGATCGGTCACCGAGAGTAACAAGACCGCTCCTCGATTATGCCAGAATCCTCCCCATTTTAAGAAATCAGAGTTGCGTGAGAAGATTCTGTTAAGGATATGAGAATGTATTCGTATGGTCGGTGGCAGTGGATAAGGGAGGCATAACACACTCATGGTATACATCTGGGTCATTGACATGGACATAATTGGGACCAATGCACACCACGGGGGAGTCTGTCGTCTCATAAGTATCTGATTATATAGGGTCACGTTGAGTCACATATCATAGTGCTGGTGAAGCTCAGGGATAATTTTGACCATGCCATCCCGGAATGTATCAAGATAAAATCGATAATAGTCAGTGCAAGCGGCCAATTTCGGGCCCGGGATGCCTCGTAGTGGGTGAAGATAGAGCCTCCAGAGGTACACCACAGCCGGCAAGACTATGGAACCGATAGCCAGGACGCACAGAACTGTAGCCTGTGAGCTAGTCCATAGTAGAGCCAGACAACTGGCAATCATAGTACCGGCTCTGTCTCGTTTTAATGTGTGAAAAGGATGACGGAGAGTTAAAATAGCTGGTATAAACAAGAACTACAATCCCTGAGCTTAAGCCATGTCTTTTTAATCCCTCCCTTGCCATGGAGTACTTTGCATAATGGTCCTATAGCTGAGCAGCCAGTACATGCTGATTTGCACATACGGAACAGGTAATTCTGTGTTGATAGGTCCTAGCTGAGACTTCCGGGATCATGGCGCATATGTACCCAAACGGTGGGTCCTAAAGCATCCTCGCAGCTAAGCCCTCCTCGTGGGTTGCCTAGTCTCGCATTTTCCTAAGCCTCGCTCAATAAGTTCTACATATTGAAAGGGGTTTCATATTGATAGGTAATATCTAGTGGTAAAGACAGGAAGGGCAACATCTCGAATAGTAGTATATGAAGCTATTTGGTACAAGGTATAAATACATATGAAAATCTTTTGTCCGCCATAAAAAAAGAAAGCAGGATAAGTTGAGTTTAGATCGGTAATCAAATCCACTTATACCGAAATCGCCGATCGAAAATGAGATCCATACAACCTAGATGCGCCGACATGAGAGATTCATGGCACTAGTGAAACTAGTTCTTTCCTTCATGCATTACGCTCATTTCCCAGGCCATTCCCCGCCACTCTACTCTTTTATCTTTATATTATAGCATACAATATACTCCGTAGTTTACCTGTGTTGAAAAGTTTCAGTGAATCTCGTTACTCATGTCAGCCTTCTACTTACCTGCCCATAGCGCTGTCATGCCAGAAATGGCAGCAATGTATGTATTCGTCATGCAGCATGAGAAACTCTGATTCCAATTTATTGTGAAACAGCCTACAGATTGTCATTTGGACTGGAAATCTCGGTTCCCTCCGGGGCTGAAAGCGTTTGCTGTGATCTCTGACGATCCCTCGGATTGTGAGAATAATCTAAAGCGAAGAACCCATCTCTTGCATCTCTGGATGCATGGATGTACATATACTGCATATAATCTACATAATTAGTCAATAACTTGAGATGAGATTATGACATATAGTAAACGCCATTTATATTGTAGAAAATTCATGAAAATGTCATATATTATCGGTGGACCCGGTGGGCCATGTGGAGAGGGGATGATCTTCCAAAGTGGCAGAGTAGGTCTAGTTCGAATTATGGAGCAGATCTCTCTCTACAGAGTATCTGCAGGCTTGTCTTGCATGACTAGCTTGCAGTTGGAAAATTCCACCGCCGTCGCAAACTCTGCCAAACACCTCAGACATCTCTCCTCCATAATTGACATACTATGCACAAGAAAGCCTAGATGGACGCTGAAAAAAAAATGACAACCGGCCAACCAGCAATACAATGGCGTTTCTGGAGTATTTTTGCCTCCCTCCGTCTGCTGAGTCTCATTGCTTCGATCGATGTAAGCATTGTCACTACGGCGTTACCAACCATCACCCGCGAGATTGGGGGCGAACTTCAGTACGTATGGATCGCCAACTCATACCCGTTGGCTTCAACCGTACCGCAGCCACTGTATGCGCAAATTTCCAACATTGTCGGCCGGCGAAACCCCCTGTTGGTGGCGGTTTCGCTCTTCGCTATGGGCAGTGGAATTGCAGGAGGGGCTACCAATCCCGCTATGCTTATTGCTGGACGAGTAGTGCAGGGTCTGGGAACGGGTGGAATTTACGTGTTGTCTGCCATTGTCATCAGCGATCTGGTGCCACTACGACAACGTAGCCAGTACGTGAGCATCATGTTTTTGATGGCAACCGTTGGAGGTGCTATTGGCCCGCTAGTCGGGGGTGCATTTGCTGAGCGCGACTGGCGTTGGGTTTTCTATATGAACGTCCCGGCTTCGGGAGTCGCCTTGGTTTTGATTTTCTTCGCGTTGAAGGAAAATCCCACTGATGGCTCAATCAAGACCGCTCTTTCTCGAGTCGATCTCTTAGGAAATGCCATTCTGGTCCCATCCATACTGGCCATTCTCCTAGGTGCTGTTCTCGGCGGTGTCGTGTATCCATGGTCATCGTACCATGTCATCGTTCCTCTTGTCCTGGGGGTTTTGGGGTGGGCACTATTCCATGTACATCAGGCATTCTGTAAAGAGCCCAGTATACCACCTCGTCTGTTCCGAAACCGCTCGACGGTCTCGGCTTATGGGATGAGCTTCATCGCCTACCTACTCACCCAGGTCTCCTCCTATTTCTTGCCAGTCTACTTCATGGCCGTGGCTAATGCGTCACCAATCCGAGTCGGAGTCGACTGCCTGATATACTCAGTGGTGGTGCCGGTCAGCGCTGTGTTCGCAGGAGGTTTCGTGGCACGTACGGGAGTGTACAGATCGTTGTTTTGGAGTAGATTTGCGCTACAGGCAGTGGGTTATGGACTGTTGTCGACGCTGGACGGGTCATATTCTCAAGCCAGATTCTTCGGGTTCCAGGCCCTTGCAGCTTGCGGAACTGGTCTTGTTATACCGGCTCTCTTGCCTGCAATTCTGTCGCCGCTTCCAGAATCAGACGTTGCCAGCGCTAATGGCGCCTATTCATTTCTGCGGTCGTTTGCGTTTGTTTGGGGTATCACGATCGCATCGGTTATCTTCAACGGCCAGTTCAAGGTCCACGGGGGTCAGATCAGTGATGAAACCGTACGGGTAAAGCTTGTCGACGGCGCGGCATATACCTTTGCCAGTGGAGGATACATCTTCCAGCTTCCACAGTCTACCAGGAATCAGGTTATTGGCGTGTACTCCAAGGCTCTTGCGACTGTGTGGCAGGCAGCGATTGCATTCGCCTGTGTGGGTTTCCTTCTAGGGCTGATTGTGAAACACGTCCCACTGCGAAAGACGCTTCATGAAACTAACGAAGAGCCAGAGAATATCTCAGTTACCAAGCAGACTCAGGATGTCTAGTTTAAGACTCAGTCTTGACACTATATACCCGTAGCTAAAGGCCTCTCGGTTTTAGATATACAGAAACGATGTACTAAGTAATTCAACTTCAGATACACGGGAAAAAGAATATTGTTATTTGGATATTAAGCCCGGGAAGCCAGTGACAAAGAAAAACACAAAGAAAAAGGCTACTTCGAGGAGCTCAGTGGATTTCACATCCACGCACAGCCAGGGACAACAGCACCCCTCCCAGCAACAGCCTTCTTCCCGAACTTCTCAACATACCACTTCCGTCCCCAGCGCGCATGGGGTAACATATTTGTAATTGCATTGATAACAAAGACCACAGCGGGCAAAGGCAGCGACACATCGAGCTTACCAGCCACCCACGCCGCAGGCACCAACCAAGGCGCAAGATGCAGCGGTGGAGCGATCCCCACAGAAGATGCTGAAACGGAGATAGGTAGGGCGGAGAGTGGTACAACTGCCGTACCAGCGAGAGCAAAACCAATCCACTCGAGCCATTCGAAGACGTAATGCGGATACAAGATGTGTCGGAAGACACCACGGGAAGGTGGAATGACGTAGACTTTGTGGTACTTGTTTCCGTTCCCTTGTCCTGCTGAAGTTTCGTCGTCTGCCTTTTTGGCGGTGCGCTTTTCGGCTTCTTCACGTCTAAGTCGAAATAGTGCTGTCTCTGAGTAGATGTTGCCGGCCATTCCGATGACGAATAAGAGTACCCCCACAGTGGGGATGAGATCTGTCACCGCAGAGCGAGACGGACTTCTGCTGCTAGCTTCGTGGAAGCTTGGAATAGTCGGCACTGTATATCCACGCAACCAGCCAGCCAGACAAGCTGAATTGAACCAATTGAAGAGCATGGCGGAGGACATGATGGCAACATGGATGGGGGACATGCTGGGGGCGGAGAAGAAAGGGGAGATGATAGCGCGGTTGAGATAGTGGATGCAGTACATAGTTACAATGAGGATGTTGGACACAGGGAGATCAGTGAATGAGGGTGCAAATGGTGATGGGGTGACCATGCAATATATCAAGTTGATAGGCCCGACAATTTCCATGGCAGACCAGGCGATACGTCCTGGGATGTTGAAGATGGACTGTGAGGAAGTTTTCCCTGCTGGATGCCAGGATAGAATCCATTGAGCTACCGTGATCTAAATGCACCGAGTTAGTCTTGTGATGTCATATAGGGCTTCAGAGTCCTGACCAGGGGGAAATATTGGAAGCAGCATAGAATTGGAGTATAGACAGCCGGGGTTGGAAGGAAGATCTCCGTAGTGGAGGGCAAAGCTTCCCAACAAGTGGAAATATTCGCACCCATATTGAACAATTGAGAGTTGAAGAGAAGAAGATTGAAGATCACGGAGGATAAACAAGAAGCTTAAAAGCTGGTGATATGGAAGGCGGTGGGTCCCGGATAAGGAGTTGCAACTTCACCTCTTGTTCTCCCTCTTCCTCTTCCTCTTTCTCTTCTATTCTGTTCTTTTTACCTTATATGTCTTTTTTAAAGGACAAACAGTGTCGGCATTACTGATCAAGTGGACAATTTCTGGCAAGATGTGCATGAATTGTCAAATTCAAGAAATATACTCTGTACTACTTCGAATACAGGTCGTGCAAACGAAATCCCTCCTACAACTACAAAGGGTAGGACAGCAGAGACAAATTTCAAAGATTGAGCAAATTGACGATAGGACTGGGTTCGTTTGATTCTCTACTCGACAAAAAGGCACACACATAAATAACTCAGGGCTTTTTTCCACATAAACGAAGGGTAGTATTCTGTCCCGTGAACGCTAATGGAAATGCCCACAAACAAGCAAGCTTGTGAATTAAATCATAAAAAGCTCCCGCTCCTTAATTCGATGTGTCCATCCGATCATGCACCATTTCCCTCCGTTTGCCGGCTAATTTTTCTGTCTTAAACGCCTCGATCTTGGCTTTAAGTTCGGTGTCTAGGAAAGATAGGTTAGTAGTAGAACAACACCTAGGAAAGGGAGATTGCTTACCAGCCACTACATCTTCGATCTTCAATGGGACACGGTTGAATGGATCATGGGGGTCACTGAGGAGATGTGAGCGGATTGTGGCACGGTCAATGGAGATCCGTGAGCCGGGAAGGATGACTGGGTCGTCCATGAGTGAATACATAAGAGGATCTAGAATAATTAGCAGCTGTCGAAAAACAGAGTTTAGATAAGGGGGGCATACCGAGGAACTCTTCGGGAATCTCGCCCATGTCTTCCTCTGCTTGATCATCGGCCTCCTTGGCAGCCTGGACCTTCTTCTGCAGCTGACTCCAGTGACGGAGCTGCTCGGGGGATTTCAGCGACCACTTTCGGATGATGTCGGCCGCCTTCTCGAAGTTGGCTGGCTTGTAGGATCGGCCATCACGGGCAACAGCCAGGATGAAGTTCTCCTTGTTAATCAGGTTAAGATAGACGTCGACAATCTCACTAAGAAGAGCACGGGGGTTGAAGCCATATTCCTGCAGGTTATCCACCCGGAGGTTGGAGCTCTTGGGTCCAACCATTGCGTCGAGGTTGTAGTCCAGCATGTCCGCCAGACGCTGCACGATTTCAGGCATTGTGAACGAGTCAGCAAGCGCATCAGTGAATAGCTTGAGCATTGCCACGGTTTGGTTAGTCAGTTGCATGTAGCTCTTGGCGCTGCGCTGGGCCGACGACAGATGCTCTTCGCGCTGCTGGCGAGTTGCGGCATCCATTGCGTGACCCTGGGTATTCAACTCGGTCTGAGTGTTGTGAATGGTCTTGAAAGCACCGAAGGATTCATCAAGTACGTAAGTGACATCGTTCAGTAGGAGGTTGACAAATTGGACGAAGAAATCCAGGTTCTGATTGGCTTGAAGGGATAACTTCTCGCGATACAGAGTGTTTGGCCAAATGCATTTAATGATCTCGAAGATCTCGTAACGGATGTTGAACTTGTCGTAGAATTGCGAATGTGTTCCCGTGAACTCTGCCTCAATGTAGAATTTCATGACCGCATGGAGGAGATGCTCGTTGGCAAATGGCATGGAGTGGAGAAGGTCGACCAAAACACCACTGGCGCCACCAGGGCGTTTCCAGGTGCCTCGGAACAAGATGGAAATCAGTCCGGCTTTCAAGTAGGGATTCTTAATGTAGGTGGAGCTCTCCAGGAATGTGATGCACAGCATTACCAACTCATCTCCCTGGGTGGCGGTGATGATCTGTGGCATGCACCACATGATAAACTTGAAGTTGCTGACAACGTCCTCCAAGAAGTACTCTGGTAGACATTTGAAGACTTCAGGTTGCTCCTCTGGAAGAGGAAGGGTAACCTGCTCCTTGGGGAAGTTCTTTCCCGAGACGAGTCTCAGAAGCCACACGGTGACATATCGCATGAATAGCATGGAACGAGCCTGCCACTGCTCATCAAACAACACACCCTGCAGACTGTATTTGAGAGCAATGCCCAAGTCGAGTTTGTCTTTGTACTTCTTCAGGGCCGTATCGAAGGTGCGCAATTGCTGTGGGTTGTTGAGCCAGCGAACCCGCTCAAGTTCAAATTTAGTGATTGTACTCTCCATCTGTCGCACATCTTTCTCGAGTTGCTCCATCTTCGACGTCAATGATTCACTGCCGTAGTGATGAGCGGCGACAGTCAGGAAAAATATTTCGGTGATAAAGTTTGAGGTTCCCTCGACTCTCTTTGAATAGAAAGCGTCGGAAGCATGCTGATCGGCATTGATTTTGGTCTCATCCCGCATGTCAACCCGAGAATCGCGGTGGAGATAATCCGCATCGACTCTGTCGATTTTGGTGAATGCCGCATCCATGAACGGCTCACAGAGCTGGTCGAGGCACGTTGTGATATTGAACATGAATCCATCAGACGATACCTGTGTAGGGTCGACCTGCATCGCCCGTCGTTTGTGGTTGATGTTCATAGCAGTAGCGAACCAATCCAAAACACGATCCCGAGCCTCTTTCGAGGCCCGGATCAGGTGGTTAACAACATCAAGAAGATCAGAGCTAAGCATCTGCTGTGTCATTCGAAGCGATCGCTGGGCGTTGGAAATGTATGCCTGATCCCGGGTTTTGGGGCTAGAGAAATAGGACAGGGTGACATTAGCTTGGAGGGGTGAGAGACGGAACCATGGACCCAGAAGAGTGGCTTTCTCGAATTGAGCAGGATCCTTGGTGTTGTTAAAAAAGGAGGATTCCGTGATTGCAGCCGCAATGGATCCGTGGCGAACAAGATTCCGAAGGGCCTGAACAAACTGGTCAGACGTGGTCCAGGGAAATGCGGACGTTTGACTTACAATAGCGTATGGCTTGTAGTCATCGTTAACATCCATGGAAGAAAGCTGCGTGCTCAACTGCTCGACGGCAGATATGAAGGCAGGCTTAACAGAGTCGTCTTCGTCGAATCTTCTGACGGCCTCATTGATAAACTCGAAATCGATTCCTTTGTCGTCCTCAGGGTCGATAAGAAGGTATGCGGCCAACGATGATTGCGGGGACCATTCGCTCCTATAGTCCAAACAGTCAGTATCGAGTGTCAGTGCAGTGACATTCCAGAAAAACGAACCCAAACATCTCTGGCATTGTGATCGCAAAGATACAGTAGCTCATGCACAGGCGTCGCGCCTCACACAGAACTTGATACTTTGGGTCATTATCTCCCGTCCGCCTCAGTCCTTTGTATAGCTTTGTGATGCGCTTCCAGCATGGGAGCAGATAATCAAGGGGACGCTGTCTCTCGGCCTTTGACGCAGCCTCTAGGAGGGCTTGGTCCAGAACTGCGACCTGGATGCGCAGATCCTGGCCCTCATCCTGCAGTTCGCTCCGAAGTCCAGGCAAGTATGTGCGGTTGCCATGAATATCACGTTGCCCTTCTTCCTTAAGGGTCACTCTAAACACGGCACTTAGTGTCCGGTCTTCGAAGGCTTCGATGCTTTCGATTTTCTGTGGCGGAGGAGTGCTCGGGGCTGAGGGAGCGGCGGATCGTGGTCGCTCTGGTGTAGCCGCGGCCGGTGTGATCTTGATCCGCTTCCCTTCTGACTGCGGGGTTTGTGGCGCGTTGAAAAGGCGGCTCGGTGGCTGAGTGGACAGTGGTGAATGTGATGGAGATGTGTTAGCTGAGCTCTGTGCCGAGTCGGAGTTGCCATCCACTGGGGGCTGGGCTGGGTTTGAGAGCTTTGCAAGTCGCTTGTTGCGAATCTTTTTTTATCAAGAATAGATGTCAGTTCTCAAGTCACTACGGGGACGGCACAGTTTCGTAATTTGAACACAACAAGCAACTGACCTTGTCGGCGTCAGAAATAGTGTCCGACATATTAGCTGAAAGTCAGACAATAAGCCGATTTGAAAAGGTTGGCGAAACCGCTAATCTGGTGGACCGGGTCGGCAGAATGTCAATATTGTCCTGACCGTGTGGGAATCATAAGGAGGCGTGAAAGCGGAATAAGGCTGCTTCAAAGCCTCGAAGTGGGGGCAATGGAGTCTAGAATCCGCAGACGATGAACAAGATATTTGTGATTCCGTGATGATCTCCGAGATTCGCTTTTGTTCTGATTCGAGAGCGCCGTGATCAAATTTGACTAAGCGAATCTGATGGTCCATGGTTGGGCGTGAGATACAGAAAAGATACTTGTGTTTACGCGTGATCTACGCGCGTAAAACAATGTACCTCCGAAGTCACTTTTTCATCCGTTTGAACAAACGCTAAGCTATTCTGAATAAAATATAGATCGCTCCTATGGTCTGTTCTGTAGATATACTATTATATGTTCAAATGTTGAAGCCAAAACACAAGGGCCTTATCTATATACTTCAAATTTCTGGTCATAATATCAATACACATGTAAAATTACTCCGCAGTGTGATGTGATATATCTTCTATATTCATACTGTGCTCAGAAATGAGAATTAAAGCCCAATTATGAGCCTTGGGAAAACCAAGAGGGCAAATCCAGTAAGATGTTAGATGCACTCAAAACTGTAGGAAAAATAAAATGTACAGTTAATGAACTTAAACTCCCATAGATGCCACCTCGGGCTAATAATGATATTAGAGCACGGTCTTCCGCAGAAAGCAGATATGAGCCCCACAAAGAAACAAGATGCCATAAGAAGGTGCGGTGAAAGCCTCCAAAGTCCGCAGTGCATTTAATTTCTCCCCCTCGTCTTCAGTTGGTCCAGGCGCCGGCAGGCCGGCATCTCCATCGCACGAGCCTTCTTCATCTTCTCAACATCAGGGAACAGCCACCCCTGCGCATCTTGCAGCCTCCTTTCCCGTTCATGGGCTTCGGCATCACATTCATTCCGCAGTGTCCTGACATATTCCACCTCCACACGCGAGTCTAGCTCTCGGAAGTTTCGGGCACTAAAGTTATCCACATCGAGGGGGTTCACAAAGTAATTGAGATTGAGCTTAGGGGTCGAGCGGCCGAGGGTATGCGGGGAAACGGGGGTATCAAATCGATAGGAAGGTCCGGATGGCGTTGAGGAACCAGAGAAGAGAGAGGAGAGGAGCGGCAAGATAAATAGAATGATAAGCGGCAATATCTGACGAAGGAAACTGCGGCCGTCAATCTGAGCTTCCTGTTCGGTAGCTGCCGTGCGAGGCCGGCGGCGGGGTGCCTGGCCTCCAAATTGATGCACTCGGAATCCTGGGCCGCCTCCCATGTTGAACACAAATTGCGGGCCACCTATAGTAGCAGAAGATTAGTTCAGGTCAAACAGATACCAGAGGAACGCGTAGTCATACCGAATCCACCACCGCCCATTCCACCAAATCCACCGTTGAAGAACCGGTTGAACATCTCCTCGGCTGAGACCTCCTCGTCGAATCTTTGACCACCGCGGGGGAATCCACCACCGCCGAACCCACTGAAGGGGGATGCGCCGCTCGAGGCACTCGGTCCGGGTTGGAACCTGCTATCAGGATCGCCGCCAAATTTGTCGTACTTGGCCTTCTTATCCTCATCGGAGAGGACCTGGAAAGCACGCGAGACCACTGCCACCGGTAAGAATCAATATGTCAAGAGACGGACCAGGGTTGCTCATTGCTTACTCTTGAATGCCTCATCCGCACCTTCATAGCCGTTCTTATCGGGATGCGTCAATAAACTCTGTTTGCGGTACGCCTTCTTAATCTCATTGTCTGTTGACGAGCGCGCAACTAGCAGAATTTCGTAAAACGCTGTAGGCTGGCATTTTCGAATCCGAAGCACTGCGGCTTTTTGATCATCCGTGTACTTGCGCTCCTGGTTGCCCTGCTTATGGTCGCGCGACGTCGCACCTCCGCGTTTGGCGTCAGAGCCAGATGCCGAAGCCGAGGGCATAGCGGCCGTGGTTTATGAGGAAAATCCGACAAATTCTGGACTGCACTTGTTTGCTGGTGTTCGAGGGAAGAGGGGAGTCGAGGAAACCTGGAGGGCGTAAGGTGGCGTGAGACTGCGGATAGGAGAGGCAATCCCGCAGATATGGTTGGGCTGGCAAATTAATCTAACATGCGATGAGATGGCCAGAGTAAAATATCGGCCTGATGAAGATGCAGCGAAATCAGAGTGACAGGTGTGGCTGATTCGGCGGGCATAAATTGGGGAAAAAGCGTGGTCTTAGGTGTCTTTGCCAAGCGCCGGAACGTCAAGTACACTTGCGATAACATCACTTACCGAACTGATAAACCTGCCAACGTCTCCAAGTCCGTGATATTCAATTGTAAGTTGTCTTGAGGTCCACTAAATTCAATTAAAGCTCGTCCGTCTTATTGATTATACCTGCAGCAAACACAATCCTTGGCCGTCAAAGCTCCATCTTCCGCTTTCATCAAATAAGTCCAGCTCCAAAGCTCAATACCTCACCATGGCGGACGATTCAACTGTCGAAGAGACCAAGCAGACGGTTATCCAGCGCTTCCGCGCCTGGGGTGGTAAGTGCCCTATGAATAGCCTAGCTTTATCGACCAACCGTCCAGAAGCAATGTCGCAAGTGACCACTCGCTAATGACGTTTCTCAAACCAGAAAACTCATTCCCACCCACGTTGCTCGCCTCCATGATCACAGCCCAGCACATGCGCCCGTTCCAGTTCTTCCCAATGCTCTTTCCGCCTGTGCTGATCTTCTCCAGCTATGCCAACCTGCAGGGCTTCAAGACAGACACTGCCGGCATTAGCGCGGCCTTCTCGGGGCTATATCTTCTTCTCGCAGCCCGCCGTCGACAGCCATTTATGAAGAAGCTGGGTGTTCGGGGCGTCGTGCGCGGTGCGACTATGGGTTTGGCCTTGGTCAACATGATCGGTGGCGGATTGGCGTACACTCTAGGTAAGAGGGAGGAGGAAGAGGATGCGTCATGATCGAGGTGACAACTCATAACGATGCGAAGATCGCGGTGCCGCATTGGTCTCGCGCTCTGTCATGTACAATATGTGTATCAAAAGTGGTTTAGTTGTGGGTTTGGAACGTGGGTGACTTCAGGTCTCGGTGTCGGTACATGGGGTTAATTATGAAATCATTCATGCATTATCACTGTACAAGTTGGAGATAGACTGTACGAGTCTCCCAGTGGCTACCCCGTCTAAGTATCTACATTTTAGAGTTTCCAGAATACGGGCGCTCCGACAGCACGAACTGCCGCACCTGTTCAGGGACCAGCCAGTTCAGATCCTGAGGAGCCAATTGCAATGCCTCGCGGGCTCTGGTTGAACTCACAGGCTGGTCGGTGGAGAGACTACCCTCGACAAGCTGAATCTGGTCGGCCCATTCCCTACGGGCGCCCTCACCATCTCGGTCACCTCGAGCAAGAGCCGCGACATATTCCAACTGCTCCTCTCTTCCACCCCACTCATCACTTGGCCGCATAGTCACACGCAGCCGGTGCTTTGACAGAAAAGGTTCCAGGGGCTTCAAGGTATGTTCGGGGCCATAATACTTGGAATCGAAAATCCGGATCAAAGTATCGTACCCCGTGAGATGGACCTGCTCCAGCGGCACTGGGTAAGAATCCGATGCCTCGATGGCAGTTGCCTTGTCGATGAAATACGGCATTTTGGTGACACCGATGTCGATCAATGGAAGATTCTCCACAGCATTTGTGACGCCTGAAGCGGCGAAAGCCGGTGCTGATGCGAGGTAGGAGCGGAGATCCCGAGCGAATAGCTCCATCATCACGAGCCGATCCTCAAAGGAGGCTGGCTTGGATGGTTTGTCTGCATTCTGAGTAGCGAGAAGAAGGAGGACGCGAGGGCGGGGTCGAGGATTTTCTATAAGTGCCGTGCTCACAATGCGGAGGTGGGCGCGGGTGGGGGGGGTTGAAAGATGAGTCTAAGACATAGAGCGTCTCTGATTCTGCGGAGTGGTCGGGTGGAATGGTTGTTAGAACCTCGAAGGTTTTGTTCGAGTTCAGAAATCGTTTCAGCAGTAACCCATACTGGGTTTGGAGGGCTCGGAACGAGGACATGCTTCTCGATAATAGTTGCTTAAATGCGATGATCTACAAGCAATGCATGCGGCATGCATGCAGGTGTTATCACGGCGATAAGGTAAGGCATGTCGTCACCGCCTTCGCTCGATCCATCCATGGATGGCCCCAGAACATCTCGAGTTTGAACACATTTTTAGATCCAGCATTCACTATGGTTTTCAGAATTGTGATATCCCGCAATTCCGGGCAATTTTCTAGCAATCTGGGGGAGTTGGAGAGGGGCACAGACAGGGGTCATTGAAATTTCAGGCCGGATGTTTCATCTTGGAAAGCTTCTCCGTGTCGATTGGGGACTTTGCTATCCTTCCTACATGTACTCCGTACTTTATACGAAATAGGGGAACCTCTAGGGGATATACAACATAAAATCAGTTTCTACTAAGCTGGTTTTTGGGCAAGAATTTATGGCCCTTCTCGAATAGGGCTTCATAAACTATTCGCTTTAGGACGGAGTAGTACTCTGGGAAATGAAATGAACAAACGATAGACCCAAGTCCAGGGGCCGTGCCTCTTAATGTTGGAAGCCTAGACCTTATCAATTCACCCGATGCCTGTACCCGTGGGACGGTAGATTTGATAAATATGCCCCACGTGGTCCATAAACAGACGGCATTTAAAGTGAATTGTGTCAATCTTCATTTTTAAATGTGTGGAATGTGTGGAAATAATGTGTATAGATATATACCCGTGGAGCCTAGAATGGCATGTTTATTTCTCAAGCAATTTATATCCCGAGAAATATGGAAGCAGGGACCCTGGGACACGGGAGACTGATTTATGTGAAACCTTTCGGTATTGGATATGCCGTATTATTACAGCCGAGATCAACCCTTCAACTCTCAAACGTTCCCGAAAGTCCCGGGATCCGGAGTATTTTTCTCCTTGATCGTCATAGATTTTTCGGGCTGTGTTTCCCCATTAGAATCTACATACATCGTGGGCCTATAGAAGTGGCCCCGGGTAGCGTCAGACTTTTCTGGTGGGATGCACGTTCGTATACGTCCGTGCCCTAAAACCCCGTTTGCCGACATGTCCTATGGGGTACAAAAGGTACACAACATATAAGCTCAATGACTCAATAACCCCTATTAAGCACTCCATCGAAATGATAGGGATATAGAAAAGGTGTCAGTGACGCCACCAACGCCACATCACATCCAGGGGAAGTCAGTATAACATAAGAGGTTCATAGACTTTGTTAATATCATATGGTTTTTTACGTGAGATTAAAGGTCACAGCCCAAGTGCCCACGGGCTCTGGATAAATGCACTTGGACCAATGAGATCTCCGTGCCTGAGACAGTGGATACTCATATACCGTCGATCCACCGGTATTACCGACAGGGAATTTGATTAAAGAATACTACTGATACTACTTTCATACGTGGAAAGTACTTGAGTACGTAGGTACTCCGTACTAAGAGATATAAAATTAAAATTAAAATTGATATGTATAATTTAATTTACGGAAATTAAAGAAATTAAACAAATTCAAGAAATGAGTTAATTACCTGAGATCTCCATATCTTCCCTTCTCTTTCCTTCTTCAAGCTTGTCTCTTTACCTACTTCTTCTCCTTCTTTCCTTCAAAGGTTCTCTGTGAGAAGCCATACGTTCCTTCCCTGCGAATTGATTTCGCACATATTGTCGCTCTTTCCTTCCCCCACACTCACTTAACTACTCGCTCAATTTGCTCCGGCATTCTTGCTCTTGCTCTCATCCCACCCTCACTTTTTCCTCTTGATATCCACCATCGTTACCAATAACTTCATCATGGTTGTCTTGAACAAGTTCTCCGTTGCCCTTGTGGCCGCTATGGCTGCTGTCGGTCAGGCCACTCACGAGGGTCTCCACGCTCGTCGTATCCTGGCTCGCTCTGCCACCCCCGGTGCTGCTGAGCCTTCTACCTCGACCGTCCTCGTGTTCCCCACTGCTGCCGAGCCTGCTCCCACTGCTGCTTCTTCTTCTGCCGTGTCTGCTCCTGCTGAGGAGTCCTCCGCCGTGCAGTCCTCTTCTGCTCCCTCGGTGGCTTCCAGTGCCATTCCTTCGGTTGCTTCGTCTGTCGTTCCCAGCGTTGCCTCGTCTTCGGTCGTTTCCATCCCTAGTGTGAGCTCCTCCGTGCCCGCTGGCACTATTTCGCCTATTGCTTCTTCCAGCAAGCCCGTGGTCACCCGCACTCCCATCAGCTCTCGTCCCACTGGTCGTCCCACCAAGTCCTCTTCCGGCGCTCTGTCCAGCACTGTCTCTGCCCCTGCTGGCACTGACGTCCCTGGCGATGCCCCCGAGACTATCACTTACACAGTGACCTCTGGAACTTCCACTAGTGTCATCACTACCACCATCTACAAGACCGCTACTGAGCAGCACACTGTCACTGCTGTATGTGTTCTATCTGATATCTTGCGCTTTGGACTCAGGAACTAACTTCGATATAGACTGAGTCTGGCTCTGATGCCTCGGCCACCAAGCCTGCTGAGGATACCACCCACACTCGTACTTCCACCATCAACAGCACCAAGACCGAGACTGTCACTCTCGTTGAGGCTCCCACTCCCTCTGGTGGTGCCGGCCATGAGTCTGGTGCTTGCTCCGCCGTGACTGTTACTGCTACTGTCACCGAGACTGTGACTGCTGTATGTGTTACTCATTCCCCTAACTCACATATCAAAAATTAACATTATTTCTACAGGGCGCTACCGAGACCCAGACTCCTGGCAACGGTGAGGGCGCACAGAGCACCTCCACTGAGACTGGTGCTTCTTCCACCGAGGCTGCGGCTGCTCCCACTGAGACCCGCACTGCCACCGGCTCCACCCGCATCCCCCTCACCCGCACTCCTACTCCTTCTTCCAGCGGCTTCGCTACCCGGACTCCTTCCGCTAGCGTTACCCCTACCCCCGCGTTCAGCGCCCAGCCCACCCCTACCGGCACCCCCTCTGGCAAGCCTTTCTTGGCCAACTGGCGCCGCCACTTCATCTAAACAACACACTGCTAATGTGAGGGGCGTATCCACCTCTACATGGCAGCGAGTTGCGAGCCTGTTGATGATCTGAGAGAAAGTCCCGATTTCCTTCTACTCGCGCAGAGGCGTGCTGGTACTGTACCTATTTTTTTGCCAAGTTTCGGTACAAACGGTTTCAATTTCACTTCTTATTTACGCTCCATTTTTTGCCATGTTTCTTCTTTTCGACTTCTATTCTTGCAATTGTCTTGTCATGCTGGATTGTGCTTTGAGCCCCAAGCTTTCCCTGCCTGCTTGCTACCTTTTCCAGGCCGTGAACTCCAATTCCTTGGCGCGCAATCTCCAAGGCTTCTGGCGTGACATTTCCTTGCGTTACATTTTTTACTCACCAATGTGAAATTGACCCATTCATACGACCCGATTTCCATTGGACTCGGAACATTTTCTCACGTATCGTTTGACGGGTGGTGACACGTCTGCTTTGAGGACTGGATCTTGCCCCTTTTTTATTGTGAAAAATTCATCTTCGTTAATCTTTACAGATCTTCATTTTTCGAATGATCTCATACTTTGCGTTGTTTTTTTGTCTTCATGTTCTCTTTCCGCGTGGAAGGCCGATGAGGGTGAGTGATATCGGTATCCTTAGGAGAGAACCTGAATTGACTTGAGGCTTTTGCCTGTTTAAAAAAGGACCCTCCTTTGTAATACGAGTAGAAATAGAGTGTATAAAGACTTCATCCTGTAGTGTTATGGTAAAGCTTGGCCTGTGAGGGACCTGTCGATCAGTGTCGATCTTTTTAGGCTAGGGCAGGCAAAGCACATAATACAACTAGTTGGATTTAGAGATATAGTCTAGTAAAGCCTTGAGCTAATATCTCATGCCTTGTATCATTTGTCCAGCCAGACCATTAATATACATTGAAAGAGGATACTATACAAAATTCGAACAAGTAACTTCTTCCTTAGAAGACCCCACGGCATTCATCCCCTGATCACCACCAAGCCTGTCTCTTCTTAGGATGAATGAATATTTATACCTGTTACGATATCGAATCCAACGCCGCAATCCCTTCTCGCGCAATCCGCTCCCGCATAATCTGCCATTCAACCCATGTCACACCTTGCAACAGACAATCTGCCAGATCATCGAGTTTCCCTGGATCGATAGCAGCCACCTCATCCTCTATGCCAGAGTGAGGGGATACCGGCAATGGAGAAAGAGACGCACTCTTCAAAGCACGAGACCCCTTCCCTCTCCCCTTCTTCAAAGTCTGCGTCTGGCCCTGCCATTTCCGCATATAAGCACCCGCAACACCATGCAGAGCAGGACACTCGGCTTTATCCGCCAGCACGATCTTATTTTCGGCAGCAATGCCCAGCTCGAGTTTCTCAAGGTTACCATCCGTCTCTGGACAAGCATTGGTATTCTGCTTCTGTACCGCAGCAGAAAGCCACCGACCAACAAGATCGATCTTAGCCTTCTTCACTTCTCGCGCATTGGGCTTTTTCTCCTTGACCTTTTCTCCGTCTTCGGATTTCTCATCCACATCTCCTGTCCTTGGAACTGATGGTCCAGATCCACCCTCAAGCCAATACCGCACTACCCGTCTCGGCTCAACGCCTCGAACAACCAAATCCGCAACCTCCCCGCCCCTCTCCTGTCGTAGCGTATGTAGAACAGCATACAACATACTCTCCAGCAGGCCAACGCGCAGCGTCCATTCAAGAACGGCACTCCCACCACCTGAGCGGAAGCGCTGGCGCTCTATGAGCACGTGTGTGGGACGGTACGCGGCTATGAGTGATGTGATTAGGGTGTATGCATTTTCAGCGTACAAGTCTGGGGAGAAGGAATCTTTTTCCTTTGTAGATTTGACGATCTTGGCCTTGACAGGCACATCTTTCTCCGTTTCTATTGGAAGAATGGCCTGTGATGATTCTGTGGCGTCACCGGATCCTGGCATTGCTTCAGCAGATTCCGGTTTGATTATACTGGTATTATCCCCAGGTATTAAGTTCAAACTTGATATCTCAGAAATAGCGAGTTTGTGCCAGGCTGTTAACTCTGGCGGTCTGGGGTTCGCTGCGTCTATCCCGATACCTGCGACCCCAGATCGGGGCACTCGCAGATGCGCGAATGCGAGGTTCTGAACACCCATATCTATACTGAGGATGCTCCATGGTTGTGCGGGGTTTGATTTTGATAAATATGTTGACTTTTTCTTTGTCTTTGAGTGAATTGTGTTTGACACCCGTCGATCGACCTGTTGATCTTGGCTTATGCTTGTGCTGGCACTAGTACTAGCATTGGCAGTGGTAGTGGTACTGGGGTTGGTGCTGCTAGTGATGACACCCTCTGCAACATCATCGCCATCTGCGGCTGCCGACAACTGCAACTGCAACTGCGCTTGTGACTGTGACTGTGACTGTGACTGCGACTGTGAATGCAACGTCAACTCCGCTGCAATGCGCTCAATAAGAACACCCTTCGTACCAGACGATTGGATACCCGTTGCGCGCGCGATGCGCTGCAATTGTGCTGATTTCAAGCATGCGAGCCAAGAGTGTGTTGGGGAGTACAATGCTGCAGAGAGACGCATTGGGAGGTTTGTTTGTGCTTGCTTGACAAGGGTGGCATTTGGTGGGGGTCTGGGCTTTCCGGTACAAGCATAAGCACAGGCACAATGAATCTCGGTTTCCGTGTCTGGACCCGCGGAAGACCTGTAATGGCAACTTTAGGCTGGATGCATGGGCATTCTTAGAAGGGGATGGGGGATTCTTCATGGATTGCCGATCGGCGCACGGACCGCTGACGTTCGCGGCTACCGTGGCACTGGGTCGGATTGGGTTTGTTACTTTTGTTTTGTTTCCATGGTTTGGACTTTAGGATGGTGTAGAGAGTACCTAGGTAGGTATGAGTATAGTATCACTGATATGACAAAATAGATATTATATGCGCCTTCTATATCCCAGAATATAACACCGAGATCCTCCTGTGTCAGTAAAACACCCGGTCTGAATAATAAAACTCCCCCCAATAAGTAGTAAATGCAAGGCGCTGAAAAGCAAGTCAAACAAAATAATTAGAAGACAGCAAAGCAGCAAACAATAATTCAACACCAAAACCAGAGCAAGAGCAAGAACAAGCACCAAATTATATCAATGCTGGCTGCTCAACCTCCGCCAATGCAATCTCATCTCGGAGATACAACAACGGAGCCCAAACACGCCAATGCAACACACCCATATGAGCAAGACGCATGCCAATACGCTCAAGATCTGACTGCTGCGGTGTCAAGGCCAGTGACGAAGTATTCACTGACCCAGACGCACCGGCAGCCCCAGTCTGCGGTGCGGCAGGACCCGAAGCCACAGTCAACGGAGCCCTTTGCGACTCACAGATCGCCAATGGGGACAGCGGCAAGTATCTACGAGCCGCGGCCAAGGTAGTAGCAAGGATTTTGCTGCGCATGCTATTTTGGAAGAAAACGAAGAGTTCGGACTCATTGGAGAGATGCCACTCGAGGGCTTCCTCAATAGGCACAATAACCTCATCTGCAACGACAGGGTCAAGCTGCAGCGCGGCACAAGCAAAGCGGGCAATCTCCAGCGCGATACAACGCATATTTTGCGTCCAGCGCTTTCCGCCGCGGTGGTCTGGATCGTCGTCGTTGTTGTTTGGGTTCCCTGCGACACGGTTCTCCAGATCCATACCGTCTTCCATAAGGGACCAGATGCGTGATCGGAAGGTGGAGTAGGTTTCTTCTGGAGTTGAGAGATACCGCTTGTGCTTGTTGACATAGGACTCGAAGATATACCAGGCGATGTCGAGGTTGATTAGGTTTTGGACTGTAGAGCGGAGTTGCCAGAGACGCTCGGAGTCGAAGAGGAAGGTTTCAGGGAAGTCGGTTGGTGGGGCGAATTGGAGTAGCTGGGCGGAGATCCCGCGGAATAGGGCTTCGAGGGGTTTGAGAGTTTCTTCTATTTCTGGGGTTGGGGTTGTTTTTTGGGCTTCGGCATTTGCGTCGTCTTGGCGAGCTTGTTCGCGTACGGATAAGTACCAGTGCCGGGCGGATTCGACTTGGAAGCCGCCGCGGTTCATTTTGCCTTCGAAGTATTCTTGGAGGAAGGGGACTGTGTCTTCGATGAGGAGAACGCGGAATGCTCGGATTTGATGGTTGGCGACGTCCTATCATTTCACGAATTAGTTTGGAATTGCAAGGCATAATGATAGGGATTAAATGTATCGTACCAACTTCATCGCCTCTAGAATAGAGAACAATGTTCGTAGACCATTGACAATCTCCCGAGGATCCTGAGACTGTGAACCTTTTTCGATTTGCTCGACCATGGAATCTGCCCACTCGTCTCGCATTGGAGCACAATGTGTTTTCAGGAGTTTGGCCAGCCATTTCGCCAGCGTAAGCATGTCGAGAACGCCTTTGCGTATTTGCTGCATGAGCAATGGAACTTCTAGGTTCTGCATGATAGTTGGATGATCCCGTTCCGGAACAAGGGTCTTGATGACGTCCTGCAATGTCTCGAACAGGGCAGGCAAACGGGGATCGAAGGTGCGTCGAGTACCATCACTCAACTCGGTTTCCTCGGTAGCATCGGCAGTAGCAGCATAGTAAGAGTAAATAGTAATCTCTGCGGCCAAGGAGTCCCAATAATCCGCAGCTTCTTTCCGCTTGCGTTGGCCCTTCTCCCCATCTAGGTCAGGTTTGAAATGCAGGTCGCGGTCGAAGTTGGCGTCCATGCGGAGGTTGATGTTGCTCATGATACAGGGCAGATCAAGCTCACTGAGCGTTTTCTTCGTGACCGGTGGAGATCTCCGAGCCTTACGCAATAAGCGCTGATCGCGGGGATCTAAACCCAAAGCTTGGGGTATACTGATAGCCTCCGGTGACGGGGAGGGTTCTCGATGCCGAGAGATAACGGCTGGTACAGGCGATGCAGCTTGTCGAGCTCCATGAGGATAGGCGAAGGGTTGTTGACGACGACGGAGAGGATGAATG